ACGGAGCTGCGGTGGCTCAAGTGGTTAAGACACTGAACTGCAGGCTGTGGAAGGTCGGTAGTTCAGCAGTTCAAGACCCGGGTGCTGCATGACAGAGTGGAAATTGCAAGTAGATAAATAGGCACCACTTCAGTCGGAAGGTAACAGCGTTCTGTGCACCTTGGTGTTTAGTCATGCCGGCCACATGACCACGGAAACGTCTTCGGACAGCGCTGGCTCTTCAGCTTTGAAACGCCAACCCTAGAGTTCGACTGGCTTTCGAGCAAGGGAACCTTTACCTTTAGTTGCTCTTAGGGGTGGAGCTTCCCCCTCACTGGCCAGTGGTGGGCCCACAAAATCAAGGGATCCCTGCCCTCACCTAGGGACTGGCATCCCTAGCAGCAGCTGCCAAAATAATGCTTTTAACAATATTCACAGCCAATGAGCTCTTGAATGACCAGTCCGAATCTTTGCTGGGCAACAATCCCACCTGTCCCTGGCCCGCCCACTTTCTAAAAACGCTTGGTGGGCCCCAGAAAAGGTGTCAGCCGGCACAATGTTGGGGACCCCTGCACTAGGGCATTGGGAGAATGGCAGGATTGTGCATGCCTGGCACATCCCCATATTGCCCATCTTCTCTGTTGTGTTCTGAAGCCAAACATTGTCTTTTAAAACAAACAACCCCCCCCCCCAATGTTTACGGTTTTATTAGAGGCACTGCTGTACGCAATGCCAGCCGATTGTTACCTGGCAGGAACTGGCCCAGTTATAAGGGTGCTGTGTGTTTTCATCATGCTTGCCGAGCAGGATTTACAAGAAGCACGTCCTGATTAGCAGGTACTTATTGTATTGTGTACTAATTAATTATGCAGAATACAAATCAGATTTCCTGTGCTGGGAACAGCTAGCTATTAGCTATATTGCAAGTGATAAGAGGAGCAAGTCTGGCTGTTAAATATAAATGATAGCCGACTGTGCAAATGCTGTATCTTCTTAGGCCCAGCTTTCACTGAAGTGCTAATCCTGTGTCTGGGCTGCACAGGTGAGAGCCATTGTGATTTGATGGTTAAGGTGCTGGAACAGGAACTGGGAGAGCTGTGTTCAAATGCTGGGAAGGTCACTGAATCCTCTTGAACCATCCACCCACTCCCAGCCTAATTACCTCCCACACAGGGCTTTTTTTGTAGAAAAAGCCCAGCAGGAACTCATTAGCATATTAGGCCACACACCCCATGTTACCAGAAGTGTGGTCATCCAGCCACACCCACCTTTTGCTTCTTATTCTGTTTACCTTGTTTGTTGTCAAAACCCAGGGCTTGTTTGTAGCAGGAACTCCTTTGCATGTTAGGCCACACACCCCTAATGTAACCAATCCTAATGAGTTCCTGCTGTTGGGTGTGGCCTATTATGCTGATGAGTTCCTGCTGGGTGTGGCCAACTCAGGAGCCAGCCAGAACTCCATTCCTGTCCAAAAATAGCCCTGCCTCCCAGGCTTGTTGGGATTATAAAACAAGGGAGAACTACATATATTGCTCTGAGCTTCTATGGAGCAGAGGTCCATCAGTGGCTATTAGCCACAAGGTATAAGTAGGAACTCTCGGTCTGGGGCAAGTGATGCTCTGTATTCTTGGTGCTTGGGGGGGCAACCGTGGGAGGGCTTCTAGTGTCCTGGCCCCACTGGTGGACCTCCTGATGGCACCTGGTATTTTTGGCTACTGTGTGACAGTGTTGAACTGGATGGGCCATTGGCCTGATCCAACACTGGCTTCTCTTATCTTTGTCAAGCTGAGTTTCGTTTCTTTGCATTTCACTTCACTGCTTGGCGAGGGAATTCCTGAGGGGAGTGTATGGGGTACTGAGCATGAATGCTTGTAGTTGTTGTTGTTCAGTCGCACAGTTGAGTCCGACTCTTCGCGACCCCATGGACGAGATCACGACAGGCCTTCCTGTCTACCGCCGTCCTCTTGTAGTAGCCATAACTATTTTCCTTAAGCTGTGCCCCAACGCCAGTTCCCATGAGAGCTGACCTTGGAGACTCTTCTGCCATGGTAGAATAGATAAGGTGCCGTATATCTGTCAGGGTTGCCATAGTTACCTAGGGGCTGGATGATGACGTATGCATGAGACGTGGGGTGTTAATTGTTCTACCTGTATCTGGGGATTTTTTGCGCATTTTCTCAGTTCTGACAAAGAGCATGTTTCCAAAAGTAAGCATATCTCAATAAACTATCACTGCTTAAGTGTGTTGTGGAGAGTGCCTTAACTGGGAGACCTGACAGTGTTCTTATGGAGGAAGGGCAGGATAGATAGAGAATGTAGGGGCCTATATCATATAATTGGTGGTGGTGGTGGTGGAAAGTCCGGTCCTGTCGCAGCTGACTTATGGCAACCTCAGGGGTCATTTCCTGCAGGAGCGCACAGAATCGGAGCTCCGGCAGTAAAGAGCCCAGGGGGTGGGCACATGCAACAAGCCCCACCCCCTGCTCCCAGCAGCCCTCAGTCAGAGCAAGAAGCAGCCAAGTAAGTTGCAGAGCCCCCCGTCCCCCGCCAAAACAGTCCAGGGGCACCTTTAAGACCACGTTTTATTCAGGTACAAGCTCTCCCTCCTCTGCGAGGACAGATCGGTACGTTCCCCCCCCCAATAGCTAGCAATCCAAAACAGTCCAGTGGAGCCTGAGGGGTGGGTGTTGCCTTCTGACACACTTCCAGTGATGCCAGAGGGTGTGGCACATGCAAATAAGTTATGCTAATGAGTTATGCTAATGAGCTCCTGCACCTCTCTTTCTACAAAATGACCCCTGGGCAACCTCATAATGTTTTCAAGACAAGAGACGTTCAGAGGTGGTTTGCCATTGCCTACCTCTGCATAGCAACCTGGACTGCCTTGGTGGTCTCCCATCCAAGTACTAACCAGAGCGGACCCTGCTTAGCTTCTGAGATCTGATGAGATTGGGCTAGCCTGGGCCATCCAGGTCAGGGGGACATAATATCTGTATGAAAGTATTCCCTCCGCGTAGAAAACTGGAATTCGGGGGAGAAGCATTCTAGCCCAGTCTTCCTTGCATTTAAGCTATGTGGGTGTGGTTTTTTAAAAAAATAATAATAATAGAGGAATTCTTTCTTATGAGATGCTTCCTGCAGTCTGAGGCAATACAGCTGAGACACACAGTTACCAGCTCAGTAAGAGTTAGGCTGTAGGCTCACAATCAGTGTTCCCTCTAAGCTGAGTTGGTGTGAGCTAGCTCACAGTTTTTTAGCCTCTGGCTCACACATTTTTGTCTTAGCCCAGGAAGGATGGCTCCAGAGCAAATTGATTCATGCAGTAGCCAAGTCGCTTGCTTACAACTTCAATGCCAGTAACTCACAAAGTTGAATTTTGGGTCACAAGACTACAGCTTAGAGGGAACATTGCTCACAATTGCAGTAGAGGCTCAGATTTGCTAAAGCATGCAAAATGTTTTGTGGACACGCTTTAGGAAAGATCCCGGTGGTCAGCCGTGTTGGTCTGAAGCAGTAGAACAGTGGCACCTTTAAGACCAACAAAGGGTTTACTCAAGGTATGAACTTTTGTGTGCAAGGCACACTTTTTCAAATACATTGGAATGGTAGGTGAGGTTCGGACTTATAGACGGGGACCTAACCTACACATGTATTACTTATTTATTATTTTCGATTTATAACCCACCTTTCCTGCACAGGCAAGCTCAAGGCGGCGAGGACTGAGTGAGGACAGTTAGTTAGCATATGTAATGAGATAAGAAACCAATATCCCTGTTGAGTCCTGGGGAGGTTTCAAGTGTTGTAATAACTTGTAATTCAGCAGTTTCCCTTCCCAATCTGTTCCTCAAGTTCCTTTGTAATAAAACAGCTTGAGGGTGACATCAAAGTAGCACAATTTACTGCAATTTAAAGCAAAGTCTGCACAATTTACTGATTGAGCTAACCAGGCTCAGTTGGCAGAGGCAGGAGATTCTTAATTGGAGGGTAGTCGGTTATGACCCTGCACTGGGTGCCAAAGGAGAGGACACAATTGCATACACAAAAGGACACAATTGCATACTGTGAAGCAAACCGCCGGTTTCCCACTTGATGGGTGGGAATGTTTCACCCTAACCAAATTACCAACAGTACTGATTATAGTTATAAGTTAGGTTGGAAGGAAGGGCAGGGTCTGTTCAGCTGAGGTAGTCACCTTATGAAGTTCTGTAACAGTGTCCTGCAGGCCTCAAGGGATTCTCTCTTCTACAGACAGAGTAGTTTTCAATAGACCTACATTTCCTAGTAAGTTATAGGATTGGAATGAGAACATATGGAGGGAAAACAGAGACCAATCCCTGTGCGGGAGGCAGAATTCTTAACAGAGAACATAAAAGGCCCTGCACAGAGAAGGAGGGTTGCCAACCTCCAGGTGGGGGCTGGAGATCTCCTGCTATTACAACTGATCTCCAGGTGACCTAAATCAGTTCACCTGGATAAAATGGCTGCTTTGAAAGTTGGACTCTATGGCATTTTGCCCCAGCTCCCTCCCTCCTGAGGCTCCACCCCCCAAATCTCCAGGTATTTCCCCACCCAGAGCTGGCAACCCTGTCCCTCACCCCAGAGCGGGGTGTGTCTGACGTGCTGGGATCAGGTAGGGCAACAGAGTAGGGACAAAGTCAGGTAGTCACATCAGGGAACTTTGTGGATTTCTGGCTGACTTCTTTATTTTTTTTGCCCTGTATTAATTTTGCCCCATTTTGGCCTCACACAAAGCATTTGCTGCGCGAAAGGCACGGATACTGGGCGGATTTTCGGGGCGCGACCACACTGCAACATCTGGCAAGCGTAGCACACCCATGGCCAACCCATGGCGTGCCACCGAAGATGCACAGTTAAAAAGTACCTGCAAAGATTGCCATGGGCTGCAGACGGACTCGTTCAGTGTGATCACGCCAGCGCGCGCCTGTTCCCTCCGGCTGTCCTTTTTGCAGCGCTCGCCAAAGGATAAAACCCTGTGCGCCGCCGTCACATCTGATCGCATCATGGCGGATCAGAATGCGATGACGCAAATAGCCACGCCTCCTCTCCGCGTTTTCCGGCACGTGTAGCCAGGACCTTTGTAGCTTTTTCTCCAATTACTGGTAGGGTTGCCAGCCTCCAGGTGGGGCCTGGTGATCTCCAGCTTTTACAACTCCTCTCCAGCTGACAGAGATCAGCTCAGCTGGAGAAAAGGGCTGCTTTGAAAGGGGGACTCTATGGCATGGTACCATGCTGAGGCCCCTCCCCAAACCCTGCCCTCTCCTGGATCCACCCCCAAAGTCTCCAGGTATTTTCCAAACCAGACCTGGCGATCCTAATTACTGGTTATAGTATTTATTTAAAGAACCTTTTCTTTTTCACTCTGCATGAATTCTTCATGCTGCAAGTTTGGCTATATATCAGGGCACACTCTGACTAAAAAGGGAGTTGTTTCAGGACGGAGAGAAAGAGCACTGGGCCCTCTCTAGTAAAGCCCTAAAACCAGAGTGGTAGCAGTTAAGTTAAGGCCCTTGCCTGCTCCAGACCTGAAGGGAGCGAGGGGAAAGGTGTGTGTGCGTCTGTGTGTAAAGGGAGAGCCCATGTCTGTATGGAAAGGGAGAGCCTACCTGTGCCAAACTTACATACCAGGCCCAGTCAATGACAAATGGGCAAACCCATTTATTTGAGTATGTGTTACTTTAAAAAACAACACCACCAAGGTGCTGACACTGAGGGATTGTATGGGGACTTATTAGGTTGCTGCTGCTTTTGTTTGAATTGTATTGATATAACTGTATCTTGTAAGCTACGTGTGAAGGCTCTTTGGGAAAAAAAACGAAGCGGGCTAGGAGATAAGAGAGGAGGCATGTCCCCATTTCAGTCCAAACCTTCCTCAAGAAACCCACCCAGTTGTTATAGTGGAAACAGGAGGAGACTCGACATATATGCCAAAGGCTAAGAGTACCGCTCGGTGTTGGCGCTGCCCACCTGTCTATTATCACGCTACCAGTTCCTGTTGCTTGTATGCCTACCTGTTGCTCTTGTGTTAAGCTCTCAATCTGCTTCAGCTGTGTGTTAATCGTGGCCTGTAGTATCTTCTCCCGGTTTAACTCCCATTGTGTGCTGTTGGGTTTTTGTTTCTTTTCTTTTTTGGCATTTTGCAGCTGCTGTTCCACCTCTGCCTGGTGGCTGTGCTCAGTTCATGGCCTACAGATTCCGCTTCTCAATCTAGTTTGAATCAAACTGCCCTAGGGTTGTCAGGTCGACTTACCTGCCAGCAGGAGACCGGAAATGATGTTGGGCATTTTCAGGCCTACTTCTGGTTGGGGGTGACACTCTGGTTTTTGGGCAAAACTCTATGGTAAATTCAGCTTCACACCATAGAATTTTGCCCCAAAACCAGAGCGTCACCTCCAACCAGAAGTAGGCCTGAAACTGGAAGTAGACCCGAAAAGGTCAGTTGGAGGCGGGATTTTTCCCTGCCGGCCAGCAAGGGTCTGCAAAAGGGGTTCCTCTGCTCCCACGGGATGGGATTGAGGCAACCCTAAACTGCCCTCGCTGTTTCTTTGAAACAATAGCTGATTATGCTTCAGCACTTTCCCCTTGATGCTACCCTGGGGCTGGGGTCACCAACCTTTTTTTGAACCTGTGGGCACCTTTGGAATTCTGACACAAGGTGTTGGGTGCAGTCACAAAACAGGTGCCACAACAGGCAGATCCAGCCACACAACAGCTGCCCAAAGAGGCAGAGCCAGCCACAAAATGTCAGACAGTGAGGTCATACAAAACTCTAATAATAACTCTTCAGCATTTCAGGCAGAAGTTCTGTCTAACAGGATGCCTTTTTAAACTAACATACTGTTCAAAAATATTTTCTGGCATGCACTGTCAGTCACACAGTGAAGATCCTGGTGCTTTGGTGACAGGTGCCGCTGAAGCAACTTTTAAAAATCTACACAAGTCAATCAGATCTCCAGTGGCCAGTCAGAAGCCCTGCTGGGCAAAAGTCCTGCCTTGCCCCACCTACTTTCTAAAAGCACTTGGTGGGTACTAGGAAAGGTGGTTTGTCAGTGCCATGGGCACCATGTTGGAGACCCCTGCCCTAGGGGTAGGACCACCCCAGTGTGAAAGATAATCTAGCCATTGCTTACTTGCTCAGACTCTCTGTGTGCGTATACAGAAAAAAATGATCAAAAGGCAAAAGGATCAGTGAACATAAAACCAATCCTCACAGTGTACTTTTAGGATTTCCAAGCTGCTGTCTCAAAAGTTCTTCTCAATCTCCTGCTTGGTTTATGACACACTCTCAGTGAGATTAAGGAGACAGTTCCAGATGGTTTGTAGCTGTCCACCATACACATGTTTATGGGGCGTGTTCATTAGGGTTGCCAACCCCCCCCCCCGGTTTGCCAGGGGTCCTCCGTTTGGGGGGGGGGTGCTACCTGCCCCAGGCCAGATGGCCGGCGGGGGAAGCCCCACCCCCAACACCCACAGCCACCCCTCTCTCTCCCTTTAAGTGTGTGGAACCCGCGTTTCCTCCCAAGCCTGATCTCCACTTGAGATCAGGCTTGCAGGGAAATGCCAGCTTCGTGCTCTTAAAAGGGAAACGCGGCTGCTCTTAAAGGGGAAACGCTGGCTCCTGCATTTAAAAGGGAAACGTCGGCTCCTTTAAGTGCAGGGAACTGCTGTTTCTGGAGATCCGGTGGGCAGGCGGGTGGGGGGCGGCGGCAGACATCCCCAATGTGACGTCATCATGTTGGGGATGCCCCGCCCCCTCCAGGAAGAATGCCCCCAAAGTGGAAGATGGACTTGGCAACCCTAGTGTTCATGTAGCTTATGTTTTCCCCCAGGGTGCATTGGTGTTTTTTGCCATCACCAGTGAGGAATTATATTGTCTGAAGCTGTTGGTTTTAATTATGGAGTGTGTTGTATACTGAACACCTCTGGAAAACGAATTCTAAAAGAGTACCCATGTTAGTCCGCTGCAGCCAAACCTTCCCCAAACCCACCAGCACGGGCACTGGCCTATGAAAGTTTGACTCAATACATCTGTTATTCTTTAAGGTGCCACTAAACTCTTCATCATTGCAGAAACCTCCTTTTACCCGGTTCTCTTGGATACTGCATAAATCAGTGGGTGCTGGAGGGAAACGAGTTGTCCAAGAATCAGACTTCATTCCGGGTGTGATTGGCTCTCCTGATGTTGTCTTTAATGTGTAAAAAGCAGCCATCGTGTTCTCACAACTTGGATCATGGCATTAGGGATAAGGCAGTGAATCCCAATTTGGTGCCTCTGGGCACAGTAATGGTCACCATTTTTTTCCTGGTGCCAACTTGCTTCTTTCCCAAAGCAGAGAGCCAGCGTTGGCTTTCCTTCTACCTTGCTGAAGCAGATGGTGGCTCAGAAGACCCCAAGCCTTTGGGTTTGCAGAGAGCTTCTAGTCACATAAGAACATAAGAACATAAGAGACGCCAATGTTGGATCAGGCCAAAGGCCCATCCAGTCCAACACTCTGTGTCACACAGTGGCCAGAAATCCCAGGTGCCATCAGGAGGTCCACCAGTGGGGCAAGCTCCCCATCATAGGATGATTCTTGGACCTCCAAGCATTTGCAGTTGCTCCCCTGCCAGCTGTTTGGTGATTGGTCCTGCTTCTCATGGAAGTAATTTTGTGGTGGTGCACACTACCCAGTCTCAACATTCCAAAAATTATCACATGTTTAACAGTGGGAGCATTGCCTTCTAATCCCTATTTCTTGCACTCATTCCCAACAGAATTTGCCATGGAGCTGCTAAACTTCAGTTTGGGAGGGGGCCATGGCTCAGTGGTAGAGCATCTTCTTGGCATGCAGAAGGTCCCAGGTTCAATCCCAGTATCTCGGTTTGAATGACCAGGTAGTAGGTGATTTGATATCTTCCTGAGACCTCGGAAACCTGCTGCCAGTCTGAGTAGACCATACTGACCTTGATGGACCAAATGCTCAATTTCAGTTTAGGGCCAATTCATGTGTTCATGTGGGTATCCAGCAGCACAGTCCCAATACAAATGCTTAAGCACCTTCCCTCAAGCTGCTTTTTCATGTTAAAGACAACATTGGGAGATAGTATCATGAACCTTCCATGTCCACCCACAAAGTGCTTATTTTGTTGCGGGAGGGGGGGAATGATGGAGTTCCAGACGCCAGTTAATCAGTGGAAGACGTTTACGGAATAAAGTTGGTTAACACCAACTGCTGAGGTTCTCCGTGTCATCTCTTTCATGTTGGTCATTCTGTGTTAAAACCTCATTGTGAACTGGCCTAATTATGGAGTTAGGCCTCAGCCATTGTGGGCGACTGCACAGGTGCCTCTACTGCCTGTATAGGTAGCCCAGCCTGGGTTTGTGGCAGAGGCAACCCGTTTATTCCACAAGTGATTGGACACTGACAGTCCCCCAACGGCAACCACAAGCAAATTGCCCCCTTGTGTTGGCCCTTTATTTTGGCCTGAAATGACATTTTGATAATTAGAAGCAGACCTCACTGAAGTCAGAACACCTCAGGAGACAAGCTACTTATTAAGAAACCCATAACTCACCAGGTCATACTGTTGCCTGCTGAATGCAGCCTGTCTTAGCTAGGTTACCACATGGATGTCTGTTTTGAGCCATTCCTAGCTATGGTTTATCCTCTATTCATGCTGCAGGGTACGAAATTCCTGGGTGCCAACCTGCCTATGGCAACCTAGAATACTCCAGGGCAGGCTCGCAAAATCTTCACCTACCCTCTGGGACAGGTAATTAAACAGTGACCTTTTATCAAGTTTATATTTCTCTGATAATTTTTCTGCTGTTCCTTGTTTTCATTCCCCACCCTAAGTAATATCCTAGTTCTTATCGGTGAGAGAATAAAATGGGGCATTTTAGAAATCTAGAATCGTGACAGTGGTTTATGTCCACTGACTTATTTCATGGCAGCCTGTACTATGCGAGATCAAGATGGGAGTTTTGAATGGAGTTGCCAACTTTTACTAGTCCGGATTCTGTGCCCAGAATGCCAGCTTGATATTATAATGCTGGCCTCCATTCCATGAAATGCTGGATTTCTACAGCTCACGGTGCATTTAAAGGCACAGGAGCCACACGAGGCCAGTTGTGCGGACAACTTGTCTTTAGAGTTGCTATCAGAATTTGACCATCCCATTATGGGCAAAGACTGAACTGGGCAGCTTGTTTTTCAGCAATCTGCTTATGATTCTTTTTACATTGCATTTGTGGCCTCCAGAAATACAGTTCTGTCTTCAGAAGAAGCAATAATAGTATCCTTGGAGGAACCCTGATGTATTCTGGTGCCATTTCTACCAAGCGCACACTATGGTTCTTCTGACTTTTGGGGTTACTGTCATGGAATTTGCAAGCTGCATTGATTTGTATTGGTTTTGTTCAGGGGTTTTTTTTGGCCAGGGGAGGATTTGGAAGATTTCTCCCTGCCAATAAAATGGTTTCTTCCCTGTTATGTCTTAGGGTGGCTAGAAATGTTTTGTTACAGCGCACTTGTAGATCCCTTGCCTTATAGGGGGGAAAAAGCATATAAAACAATTATTGATGTGGCAGTGATGATTCCCAAAAGGTGTGTTGTTGGACTTGTGCACTGGGAGAGTTCGGTGAATGAATAGCTGTCACCACTGCTTATTCTATGGAAACACAGCACAATTGTCAGTGGTCGAGAAAAAGATTCCAGTAAAAGTAAATAGGCTGAATGGAGGCTTTTCATTATTTCGCTGGATATTTGCAGGGTGTACATGTTGCTGAGCGCATGACAACAAACACCTAGCTATCACCTGGAACCAGAGTCCCATGCTCACATAACATAACCATCTCAACAGGGAACCATCAGGCCTTCTGCCCTCTCTAACTACTCATGTTTTAAGAACAAGTAGCCTGAACATGGAAACAAAGGCTGCTGGATAGTGTTATAGAAGACACTCACAGGTTTCCATTTCCAGGTGATCGTTGGTTTTACTGTGAGAGCAGAGCTATCCTCACCAGTGTTCCCTCTAGTGTGAGCTAGCTCGAAGAATTTTAGCCTCCAGCTCACAGATTTTTGTCTTAGCTCAGGGAGGATGGCTCCAGAGCAAGCTAATTTATGCAGTAGCCATATCACTCGCTCACAACTTTAATGCCAGCAGCTCACAAAGGAGAATTTTTGCTCACAAGACTCCACAGCTTAGAAGGAACATCCAGCAGGCACATCAGGCAGAGATCAGTAGACATTCCAAAACAAACTGGAAACCAAGAGGGACGTGTTACTTCAGTGTCTCTGTCTCTGTTTTCATTCTGCATCCAAAGAAGACCATGAACTTTAACAGTCTCATTGGTGGGTAGCCATGGACTCTGGCACCCAGTTTAAGGTGTTTTGAGCCACAATGCAGCAGAAAGTTTTCTAGGGCACCATCTATTTAATCACTCACTCAGGTCCTATACAAGTAGTACCCAGATGCATTGGGCACTACCTTTAGCCATCTGAAGACCACCAAGGGGTGAGAACAAAAGGCATTGAAGCCTTGCTGTGAACACAAAAAAAATCCAGTTTCAAGACCTTTATACCAGGGTTTGACAAATACCAGGTGCCAGGTTGCTATGGTGCCTAGAAATTCCATTGTGGGTTCTGCTACTATTATGAGTGCCTCTAGGTGATTGTCAGTAGGAGTACAATATGTATTTAGGTGAAGGACAGAGGTTAGCTTTTTGTTTTGAGGACAATCAGGGTTACCCCATATTCATTTGAACACTACAACACTTTTGTTATTATAGCTTTTTAAAAAGGCAAAGTCCTGAGAAGAGTTTAGGATTAGGTTTTGTGGTAGCAATAATTAGGAAGTGTGGTGATTAAAATATCAAACCCCGAAGGCTGAAAAAGGAGTTTGGCTCCTAAATTTCTGGGGTGGCTCATCAAGCTGGGGGAAAAAATTGTTGCCTGCTTTACACAAACCAATCACACACACCCCTTTAAGAATACAATATAAGTGTAACTTTTAGTAAGTGGAAAGGGGCCACCACTATGAAGGAGACGAAATGCTGGACTGTAAGAACAGCAAACTCCTTAAGGCCTGAAAACTAAAAGTATAAGGATTGTTCAGTAATTACTTGAGAAACTGTGGATTTGGGCCAGAGGGGATGGAATGAAAAAGGTTCTTCTTTAGATTGTTAAGCAATCCATGAATTGGGAGAGCGACAAAGGCTAGGAGAAAATCACCAGCAGAGCGAGGGACTTATTTCAGCATCCATAAAGCCAGAGACAATTTGCCAACCAGAACAGCATTTAGTCCTTGTTAGGAGAATTTTGACAAGTGTCTGTTCTTTGCTTAGAGCTCTAGTCTCAAGCTGTGAGTTGCCTCTGATGTAATCTGCCTTGAACGTATTTCATACTGTTTTCCATCTCAGTTCAATTTATGCTTAACGGAGGACAGAGCAGAAGGTTAGGTTAGGCGGGGTAGTATTACGAGCCGCTTCTCAGATGTGTGAAGTTTTCTCTGCATTTGGTAGGTACTGTATGCTTGGCCTGGTTTATACACATACATGCTTATGGCTTGCATATTTGATTTATTTACTTCATTTATAGTCTACCTGTCTTGCTGTGTACAATATTTTTATTCCAACAGGGAATAAAGCCAGGCTACGATATTGGAGAACCATGTACAGAGCACAGGATGATACATGTAGTGTAACAGGTCTGGATGGGTGAATGAGCCCCAGTGCCCATCACGATAGGGTGTAACCTCAGGTCACCTTGAACAAAAAAAATTTTTAGTGGTCACATATTCTTCTGTGCATCATCAAGTACATGGTAGTCGAACTTCTGGTTTATGGAACAGCGATGGCGGACATTCTCCCAGGACTGTGGGGGAACGATCCACACACCAGTGGGCTGGAGGGGCGCTACCTCAAGTAGTGCCCCCACGGAGCCTTTGGGATAGGCTCCAGGCCAGAGGGCTTTTGAGGGGCAGCCTCTTCAATGGTGTAAAGCCGGAGAATTGAGGCTCCCCTCCGCCCTGACGGTCCGCCCGCTGCATGGCCTTTGGGCACAAGCTGGTTTGACCGGGACAAGCGCTGGAGATTGAGTGGAATAGCGTTGAAGCAAGCGAGGTCAGAGAAACTGACCGACAATGAACGTGAGTTCAAACTAAGCAACGACTATAAAAAGCAAATTACCCCCCCCCCCATGGGAAAGCAGATCACAAAGAGGGACGCCTCTTATACAAAAAGACTGATAAGCGAGACAAAGGGGGAAGAGGGAGGTAAAACAGCTAGTCTGTTTTGAGAGGCTTACTTGATTGCTGACAGCATGGGAGTGATCTTTAGAATTGGAGGGAAGCATCAGTAACTGTAAACAAATCGTAAAAAATGGAGGCCGTGCAAAGAAAGCTGAAAACGAAACCGCCTGGCAACCAGAGCCCAAAACTGGAGGAGGGAGCAGATGTCATGAAAACATTTGTTACAGCTACAAATGGAAAAAGCCAATATGATTCTCAGATTCCAGGGAGTTCCTGAATCGGGAAAGGAGGATCTGAGGAAGTTACTCAGTGAGATTATCGCTCCAGCAATAGGCTCAACGGTGGATGAAGTAGAAAAAGAAATGGAGACTGCCTACAGGGCTTACTCCAATTACATTTTAAAAAATTGCCTGCCTGGAGAAATTGTGGTCAGATTCTCAAGAAGACAGACCAGAGATGAAAATGGGAAATTTAATCATTAAAACTTTAAAAGACATTCCATTTGAAATTCGTCAGAAGAGGAAAAACTATAAGGACATAATTTCTTTTCTTCAAACTACAACAACAACAAGTTTATTACGGTCATAGACCAGTATAATAGAAGACAAGTAAATAATGGAATTTCGTATAGGTGGGCGATCCCGGAGGGTACCATCTTCAAGATCAATGATAAAAGAGAAAAGATTGAATCAACCTTTAAAGCCAAGGAATTTTTGTGACGCCAGCTGGGAATGGAGGAAGATTCCAAAGAGGAAGAAACGAAATCAAGTGACTCTGCCACTTCTGGAACGGAGGAGGACTCTGCTGTGGAAACCGGTGCAGAGGCAGCCAGAGTGGTATATGATTTTAGAGACAGAAAACCGAACTAAAGGCAGAAGGACTCTGAAAATTGCCTTTTGAAGCGAAGAATAAGAAGATGATCAGAAAGCTCTCTCATAACAACTAACAAATTAACATGTTAACATTGAAGCTGAGACAAACAAGAGCTCTACAAGTATATTATTTTATTAACATTTATTTTACTAACACTTTCGCTAACAGGGATAAGATCTCCTCCTCTTGGGGTTTTAGTATAGTGTGGTTATCTTTTCTTTATCCCTAGATGTAGTCCCTTTCCTCCATAATTTCTTTGTAGATGGTAGTGTATTGCAAAAATAAAAATATCCCTCCGGGGATTAAAAAAAAAGTACATGGTAGTCAAGAACGGAGAGTTCAGGTGATCTATATGTGGCATGTGTAAATCAGGCCTTCATAACTGGACATGGCAACTTGATGCCATGGAAAACTGTTTGTGTCTCTGTTTCCCCGTATCTGGCTAATTCACACGTGCATATCATTGCTCAGGTGAAATTGCTGAGCGGTCGGGTTAGAGCGGATAAAAGGAAGTACTTCTTCACCCAAAGAGTGATTAACACTCGGAATTCACTGCCACAGGAAGTGGTGGCGGCTACAAGCATGAACGGCTTCAAGAGGGAATTAGATAAGCATATGGAGCAGAGGTCCATCAGTGGCTATTAGCCACA